TAAGAATTTTATTATATTTCCTGGAAAACATGCATAAAATATTCATTCTTCCGCTTATCATGTAGAAAATTACGTCTTCTTCCAATGTTATGCTCGAAGGAAGGATATAATTCGGTTTTTAAAAAGTTTTCCGATTACACGATAACTTCGAACCCCTACCTACCGTTACACTTTTCTTCGGGATTTTCAAACTGCAAGTCATATATTTTCCGCGTACAGAAAACCACACATTTATCTACGGTATTAATAATACATCATATGGGGTTCATAAAATTGAGCAGTGGATTTAATCCACGTTGTAAACATTGCAAGCAATATTAGTGAATTGAGAGGCACGATGTTTTATGAACGGACATTTCACGATATTAAGAATCTCACAGAAACTTTTTAACAACCAAATTATACACTTTCCTCAAGTATACAATTGAAAGATGACGTAATTTTCTACCCAGTGAATGAAAGACCAAATTTTCATATGCCTGTCTTCCTTGAAATATAGATGAATTTTTAAGGCTATCAAAAATCAATGAGGAGTCCCATACTCCATAAGTAGTGATTTTATACAGAATGTGGTTTCTGCATGCGTCCGGGAAGAAGTTCGTTCGAAAGCCTACATCCTAAAGTAACTGAATTATTATATAATTACGCTAAAAGATGAGTAATTTAAAAACCTTTTAAGTAATCTTTTCGAAACAAAAACTCATTTCGGAATTTCGGTTAACATTTCAGGAGTTAGCACACCTATCGTAGCAAAGCCGTTTAGGGTCTGGTGAGCGCCCTGATGCGGTGCTTTTTATCTGATTTCCTGATCGCCGTTATGGGTACATTGGCCAAGTTAGATTTAAATTACGGTTGTGTAGAAACGAGAAAACCGGCCAAAGTAAAGAGGCAACATTTATCTCAAATTGCTGTCGGAATCTTCGAAACTAGTCGGTCCTTACTCAAGCATCCGTAAAGAAAATTATTCAGTTAGGGCGTGCATAGAGGTTTTCACGCTTGACCCAAAAGCCGATACGAACGTTTGTCTCGAAGTAGTTGTCCCGAATTCAAACGAGAATTTTTAAGGAAATTGGAAAATTCAGCATGGAAAACTGGATTATGTATCAAAAAACCCAAGGAAGGCTACGGGACTCACTGTTGGGTTGAATCCTTTGCAGCTACATGATGCCGCTTAATAAACTCAGTGAACTAGGTTTCCCGATTTTTGCTAGTATCTGTGCTGTCAGCAAATTAATAAGCAAATGCATTGATTGGTCGTAAACCTACTCAGGCATTTCAAACATCTAAACTTACTGGATTTGAATGTAGTCGCTTTCTATCAGAAGACAGCAAGTCTTGCCAATACAAGAGAAAATGCGAATTCCTTTAAACAACCTGAAAGAAGGAAACAGGATCAATGAAAGAAGACTTTTTTCGCTTGAAGAGTTGGACTCTCGTTTGAATCCATCTTCAGAAACACGACCGGATAAGGACAGCGTTTCGCTCAAGTGTTGCGGTGTTCATAGGATGCCACTTCATACCTATCAAAATTGGCGGCCCGCGCATTCGCGGAAGGTGGTTGCGCGCGCTGCGATAAACGCTTAATTGCCAGTGGCCGAGTTTTTAATTGCCGAAATCTCGTCCTTCGTGTTAGTCCCTGGTGTGATAAATGCTGGGCCATTTGGCTCACCCACAATGGCGCCGGGAACAGTGGTCGTCCGCACAATCCCCGCACTTTGCGCAAACAATGTTTCACCACAAAATATGGAGGCCACTGCGCTTGTTAGTCGACCGAGGGCCGGAGAACCATGGTTCAAGCAGCTGGCGTTTCACTCGATTGTCGCCTCCCTCCTCATCGAACTTGAATGTGTGGCCGGGTCCCACGCCATAGACGCTGGGTCCGTTCCTTCTCACTGCTGCTGCGCGTTTGGTCATCCGTGGTCAGAGTAGTCTTCCAGGTTTTCCGAAGTAGTTGCTTTATCCACAACTGTATCAGAGCCCGTACATAACTCCAGGCGTTTTCTGTTATGGCTAGGGATCTCTCAACCTCATCACCTGGCGTCTACTGCTTGCCTTCGTTTGTTTGCAACCCTAACTCCAAGAGAAGGCGGTTGATGACTTTCGAGACGTGCTTTGGGTACGTAGTACCTGCCAAACTTTGGGGTCGGTTGGATTTGGTCAATCGTCTCGTCTGCGCATACACCAGTACTCGGCGTCGCGCAGGTAGCCCTTCCTTACAAGCATCCACCGCGTCTATTGTAATTCAGTAGCCTTGTCTTCCGACTAGTTGCAATGCATCTTAGCAGGTTGATGTGGTTCCCTTCTGCAACTTCGCTTGTGGCCACTTTGCTGATGGCTGCTGCAGCTCGGAAGTTGCATCACGTTTTTCGCTTTCATGGACATTTCGGCAAAGCTTTGCCTATATCTGTCTGTCCCTAATAATGGATTTGGGTCTCAGTCCGAAACGTCACATGAACAAAATGCTTGTTTCAGAAATTGATCCTTCTAAGGCCCTTATCGCTGCCCCTTCTCCGAAAATCTGCCGAAAAAATTACAGCAAGGTAGGAGGGGTTATAGGGTAGGGGAGGGAGAAATCATTCAGGAAATCACTACCAATAATCTTGGCTTTACTGGATGCCGTGGATGGGGACCAAAGTTGCCGTTTATAGTCACATCAGATTCAGAGATACATTTGGATGAACCTGGCATAACCTTGCAGTGATGAACAAGGCCCGTAACATTACAGTTTGACCGTCGTTACTGAATATATCCGTCATGTGAACAGGAACGGTGACTTGCGTGTTAATTCGTTTACAAGAATGGAAGAGCTGCACGGCATCTACCGCATCCTACCTTTCTTCCACACCTGGGCCCGGTGCAAGGACAGGATCAAGAAGACCGGAGACGGAGAGGACACAGGTGGTTGCACGTGGTCGTATCTAGACGTACCATTATACGTCTACAACGTACACTGGCCAGGATTTTACAAACCAAGAAAAGGGCGGCGGCTCTGATTCAAAATGGCGCGGCATAAGCTTGCACTTGGGCATGCCGTCACACCCCCAGTGTTGACATTTATGGGTGCGCATTCCTAGTAACGCCTGCTGTTAGTCCAGCGCATCTACCACGTGGCCCGTTTTGTGGGCACAGCCCCGCCACACACGATAGTTCGACTATCGATTTCGATGATTTCCACCGTGTGCCCCACAGCAGTAGAGGTGGGAGCAGAGACGGTGACTCACGCAGGGGGTTTGTAGTGCCAGTAGACTTGCGCTGCATCTATCTACACTCTCTCCTCCTCTCTCGCCCGAGTCCGGCGTCAAGACAGAGTCAAGAAGACCGGAGACGAGGGAGGCCGCAGGTGGATGCCTTGGACGTGTCCTCGCCCTGGCGTTCCACTCAGCACCCCCTGATCCACACACAAATGACCAGGGTTTTTGCCGCCACAACAATGGAGGTCGTGACGGCTGTCGACAACAGGGACTGCCAGCGCACCCCCTACATGGTGGCATTTGCTATTGCGCATAGATAGCGCCTGCCAGTATCCGATGTGACCCCGTGTTGGTCCAGCGCATCTATCACGTGGTCCGTCTAGGGGCACAACACACACCCACACACACTAGCTCAGCCGTCGTTGCCGACGATGACCACAGTGTGATCTACAACAAGTTGAAGCAGGCACGGCTTAAAGACATAGTTACAAAGACCGGTGGCGGGGGGAGGGCGCAGGCCAATGGTGCGGTCGAGCCCGCGCCTTGGCGCTCCACTCCACACCCCCGGTCCACACAACAAATGACCAGAATTTCAACAAAAAAACAAAAGTAGCCGACACAGCCGAAGCCGCCCCAGGCGTGCCGTCACACCTGGCACAGATCCCACACACAACACTGGGCCGACTTCGAGGTCCAAATTATCCTGTCTTTCGGCAACCTTCCAAGCCACGGCTCTTAGCGCATTGTGATATCTTCAAGCGCGTCAGAATGTTTATATTGAGCAAAGTGCGCTGGGTCGTCGACCTCATTCTCTCTCTCTTGCCATTTCCAGGCCCCAGTCACTGTCCGAGCCGGTCAGTTGACAGGTGCGGGGAGTGGGCAAAGTGGCTGACATATCTAGTGACCTTGTCTGCGCACAGCACATGTACGACGTGGCCAATTAAACACAAGCATCAGGATTTCACACAACGGGAGTTTGGCGGCGTATATCTCACATGCGTGAGAGGGCCGTAGGTCATGTTAGGAAGAAGCCGTTTTAGCCTGACGCTCAGCCCACCAGTCTGCCACTCCATACAAACACTTACATGACTGAGCAGACTGTGTGGACTGAATTGGGAGCGTCGGTCTTCCAAGCCACGCGCTTGACGCACCGTGATAGCCTCCGACTCGGATCACACATGCATTAGTGGGCGCATGGAGACGGAGCCGAGACGCCCCCTTCCCACATACGTGGGAGCTGACAGTTGCATACAGCAAAGTCTGTAGGATAACCAGTTTGTGCATCTTCCGTTTGCTGTTGAGGTGGAGACCGTGGCGATTTCAGACTGTGCTTTACAGACGGCAGAAGGCTTGACTGGCTTTTGAAATCCGGCGTGTCACTTCATCGTCGATCTTGGTGTTGTGAGACAGGGTACAGCCCAGGTAGGTGAAGTTGTCCACGACTTGCAGTTGGGCTCTGCTCACGTCGATTTGGGCAGCGAAGTGGTCAGCGTCGGATAGCGGTTGAGGAATAACCACCGTCTTCTGCGTATCGATGAAAAGGCCGAAGTTGGCACATGCGGCAGCGAAGAGGTCCAGGCCCCTTTCCACGTCCCCTTCGAAGGTGGCGTTGAGAGTGCAGTCGTCAGTGAAGAGCAGTTCATGGGCGGAAGTAGAGGCTGCACGCGACTGGAAGTGCATCCACCGCTGATTGAAGAGTTGGTCGTCCTTCCTGTAGGCGACGCGCATTCCAGGGTGTTCGTCATATTAGGTGTCCATTAGCGTGGCAGAGAACATGAGACCGAAGAGGGAAGTCGTGGGGACACAGTCCTACTTTACTCCATTGGTCACTGTGAATGTCTCTGAGACGACTATATTGTCCGTGAGGCACACCGTCATGCCATCATGGAGTCGACGCACCATCTGAGTGAATCGTTCGGGACAGCCGAATTTTCGCATAATTTTCCACATTCGATCGCGATTCACCGTGTCGAAGGCTTTCGTCAGATCCACGAAGATAGAGTAGGGGTGGACCGGTATCTCCTGACGCTTCTGTAGTCGGCGGGCGACGAAGATCATATCGGTGGTTCCACAATGACGGCCGAAGTAGCATTGACTTTCCGGTAGGATACCCTGTTCCAAATGGTTGTTCAGGCGCTTGAGAAGAAGGTGAGCGAATATTTTCCCGGCGATGTTCAGCAGGGAGATGCCCTGGTAATTATCGCAGGTTTGGTGGTTCCAATCCCGCCTGTAGAGGTGAACGATTGTGACGTCCTTGAAATCCTGCGGGACTTCTTCTTGACGTCCCATCTCCTGGAAGATCGCCGTCAGATGATCCACTAGTTGGGGACCACCGTGCTTGTAGATCTCAACAGGGATCACATCCGATCCGGATGTATTTCCGTTGGAGAGCTGTTGCACAGCCTTGGTGGTTTCGTGGAGAGAGGGCGGGAGGTCGAGGTCGGCGTTGGACTCCACTTCAGGCAGAGAAGGGGGGATGGCGGCCTCAGAGATGGTGGAGCGGTGGTTGAGGAAGCCGCTGAAGTGCTCGGCTCTTCGACGTAGAATTTGTGTCTTTTCAGTCAATAGGACGGTTTCATCGGCGCTGAGAATAGGTGTAGTTGCTTTGATCGGCGAACTAAACGGCTCTGATTGCGGAGAATTTCTTCCATTCTTTACGATCCGCGTATCCTTGAATCTCCTTGGCCTTGCGAGCCGTCCAGGTCTCCGGCACCTCGCGCAGCCACTGTCGAACATAAGGCAGCAACTAAAGTAGAAGGCTGCTTTGTTGTCGTCAGTAGGGCGATTGACTTAGGCTTTGTGCAGGCGGTTCTTCTCGGCAAGTAGGTTGTAAATGGCGTCGTCATAGTCGTCGAACCAGTCCTGATTTTGGCGACCTGAGCGATCAAGGACAGTCAGGGAGGTTGACTGTACCATGTCCCTAAGTTGACACCATCGGTTATCCACGGAAGCGTTCTCGCCGGCGGATGCAGCGGTGACTGGAAGGTCGGCTAGCCTTTGAGCTAGCTCATTGCTGAAATGGAGATGGTGAGCAGGCAAAGACAACAAAGCAATACTTAGCTTACCCGGGGGTCGCTTACCTTGAGGTCTCCTGTGAGGTTTTAAGCGAATCCTCGTCTCGGAGATGACGAGGCGATGATCGGTCCATTCTTCAGCACCGATGATCGCCTTTGTCACCAGCACGTCCCGCTGTTCTCGCCTCCGAACGAGGACATAGTCCAGCAAGTGCTCGTGTCGTGACCGAGGGCGCATATAGATGGCCTTCTCTCTCATCGGAAGGCGGAAGTAGGTGTTGGTCAGGAAGGGCCGGTGTTCTGCGCAGGTTCGTAGGAGGAATAGGCCATTGTCATCGGGGCCGTTGAAAGCATGGGGACCCAGCACTCCTCTCCCGGCAGCATGGTCAGTGCTGACGCTGACGTTGAAGTCAAGTCACCAAGGGCAATCAACTTGTCCGCCTTCGGCACAGTCGCCAGTCTAAAATATAACGAACATCCGAGGCTGCCAGGGTGAGGGGACTCACCTTACCTGTCTGTGGGATGGGGCGGCGAGGAGGAGGAGGAGGGGGGAGAGAGAATGGTTTCTTGTTCGATTGTTTCGACGGTGTGTTTTGCGCTTGCGAGTCATGGTTGGCGCGCAAAAGACGAGATCCCAGCATATGTTTAGGGCACCTTTTATAGCCCCGTCACCCCCCCCCGGGGGGGGGGGGTGGGGGGAGGGGGTAAGCAGTACTGTCCCTAAACAGGGTTGCTCAGACATCTCAGACGGCTGCCGGACTCCGCTATGGACTACGACTTTGTTTATTGAGAGAACGACCCGAGCTATCCTGTGCCACCTGCGTGATTGCTGTCGCTCT